TAGAAGAGGAAAAAATCCATTCATTGAACAAGCTTTCCAGATCTTGACAGGTTGCCCAGTTAGGTTTCATCCTCTGTGAGCCCACAGAGGATTTGGTTCGGGTTTGTCTGGGGGACTCAGGGAGCTGTGGTTCAGGCCGCTGCTGGAAGGGTTTGCTGCATTTCTTGGGGTGAAGAGGGAGGAGCTGCGGGGCAGCTTCTGGAGGTGGAGGCTGTTAGGTTGGCCAGCAGAGCTTTTAGCAGAAGTGCATGAAACCAGACATGCTGACCCCGCAGGTCCCCGTTTTACCAGCAGTTTCCCAGCACTGGGTTGTGTCTGTGAGCGGGAAGCAGCTGTGACAGAGGAGGAGCTCTGGCAGACAGAGAGTTTGCTGGAGTCGGATGACTTCACCTGGTCTTTCAAATTTCTAACCCAGCCAAGGAGAGCAGGGTACCTGGCTTTTCCTGCCAGTGGGCCCCAGGCAGACAACACTACACGCCTGCAGGGCTGATTCACTGCAGGCAGTTTTGTACTGCTGAGCCATTGTGCCCCTGCCCTGGAGCACTGCTTCCCATCCTGGAGCTCCAGCAAAGCCAGCTTCTCCCCACAGAGCAGGTGTGTGTGTGCACCTCTGTGTCTTTTTCTGTGGTAATGCTGTTCTTTGCTGGGAGTTTTTAACTGTAAGGCATTGTGGTGAATTTTTACTCCCGTGGCTTTTCTGAGCTCTCAGCAGGGCAGCATGGGCTCGTTATCAATCCCAGATGGGTCATTTTTGGCTGACTGCTGGAGACAACGTAAGGCTTTACAGCGATCAATAACCCTGACGGCAGCGCAGAACCCTGGCCAGGCAGTGTGAGCACAAGCCAGAGATGACGTGGAGGAAGTTTTAAGTACCTTGGCCTTCCTCCCATCACCTGGGTTCCTTCTGTCCTCCCACTGCCGTTAATACTTCTCACTCTTATTGAGCCCATGACAGGTGACGTGAAGGCACGAGCTTGCATTGGCAGCTCTGCTCTCTGGCAGCGAAGCCGAAGCGTGCTGCAGCCGTCCCAGCGCGAGGCAGTGCCATGATTTATTGCTGCTGTTTCTGGGTTTGCACACAAAGGTGCCGCTGCACTCCAGGAGAGCTGTTTGACAAACGGCTGAATGCATACTTCATCCAGAAATCCTCTTTTGCATTTATTTCCCCAGTGCTTTGGTCATATTTGCTTCGCATGCTGAGGCAAAGGGGGAAAACATGCAGAAATAGCCCTCCTGGTTTTAATGTGCTGCTCTGACTTTGCTAAGGAGTTGCTGTGGTTGGGGGCTGATGTTTGGTGGAGCGTGTTTGGTTAATGACTGCAATTGCTGTTTGATGCGCAAGTATTTTCCTGCTGTGCAGGCTCAGCACATCTCCAGTGCCTTCATGCTGAGGTGCAGGGCTCGAGGTTAAATGTTAGCAGTGTGCTCCCTTGTTGAGATCTAATTCGATTTGGGAAGGCAGAGGGTACTTAGTTGAGTGATGCTATTCCTTCAAGGGGCATTAGGAGGTGGCACAGCGTGTGCGGGGTCAGCTCTGCAAATTGAGCTTTTCCTCCATTGGGCTTGTTTTCATTTATAGTATTAAGAAATCCCCCATCCCACCCCCTTATTTATTCTTCAGGCAGTGAGGATGTAAATCCGTTGGCGTGTTTGGATTTAGGGCATTGCCTTGTTGCTGCAGAGCCTGGAGTCCTGCTCCAGCCAGATGCCACAGCTTGTGGCAGCCCTGTGAGTGACCGGCATCTGCTCCCTGCAGATCCACACCTCCTCCCCCTCTGTGGCCCCTCTGGGAAGGGGAACTGCACCAACCTCCAGGGCTCTCCTTTTCCAGAAGAAAAGGAAAAACACAAAGTGCTCTTCCATTTCATTGGCCTCCCCACAAGCAGAGCGTTTCCGTGGTGGGAGATATAAATATCTTTCCCAGCTCTTGCTTGGCTTCTCCCTAAGATAAATAGATGTGGAAGAAGGAAGTGGAGGCTGAGCCCTCTGAAGCCTCTCCCAAGCCCCCGGGATGACTGTGGGACGTCTGCTTGTCATAGAGGCACAGAGCCCTTGGAGGAGCTGCTCCAGGGCCTCATTCTCAATTGCCTGCGGTGGATCTGGGCTGTGTGGTGCCATGACTCTGATACTCGTGCATGGTATCCAGTTGCCTACGAGCGCAGAGGAGCATCAGTGAGGAGCTGGCTTGAAAGGAGAGCAGGAAAAAAATAGGGCTGTGGCTGTCCTTTAAATCTTGTAGTGCATTTGCTCTCAGAAAGTACAGCTGCATTACCAAAAATCAATAGTCCTAGCAGTGTTCTCCCTGGGAAACACACGCACTCAGACTCGCAGGAGGTGGTAGTGCTTAAAAAAGGCCATGGGAATACCAAGTGCTTCAGTACAAAGGCTTTGCTTCACTTCTAGCAGCGTGCAGGTGGAGGAGCCTTGCCCCAGCTGCTGCCTTCTGGGGCTCTCCCATGGCCTCCCATATCCAGTGGGAGCTGCCTTGCTGGCTGCTCGAGGGGCACCTTCCCACTCTGCTCTGCCCAAACGAGAAGAAAAGGAGACCATCCTCTTCCCCAACATCTCTTATTCATGAGGCATTTAAGTCCTACTCAGGCTTTTGGGAACATAATTAATCTTTAATTGTATTCATCTTTAATTGCATCAAATGGAGTTTGTGTGGTGGCAGTCATTCCTCTTCCCATCCTCCGCACCCCTTGGAGAAACTCCCCTGGGATAGCCTTGTTCCAGTGGGGCTCTGGAGAAGTGATGGGCAATGGAGAGCTGTGGGGTGCTTCCTCCAGGCCAGCTGTTGGGGATTTGACAATGAGATGCAGGGAGGAATCGGCTCCGTGGAGCAGTGCTTTTAATTCATGGGTGCATTTTCTGCGTCCTCCTGGAATGGAGCAGGAGCAGCACGTTGCTCTCAAAAGCACTGCGTTCCCAGCAGTGTCGCCGAGTTTCCCTGTGGGAACCTGATGTCATCTTTTGGCTGGCTTCGTGGATGGGATGAATGGGCTGAGGCACGCCTCTGGCCTCGGCACGGCTCACATGCATGAGCCCGCTGCCAGTCCCTTGCCAAACAAAGGAAGGATTGTTGAGCAGAGCGGGGTCAGTGCTGGGATGGTGCCTGCTGACCCCGGTTAGGACCGAGCTGTGACCACACGCCCTGCGGCCTGGGCCAGGAGCAAACACCCTCTCCTCAGTGTGCGTGCCGTAGCTGTGCTGGGATGGGGGGAGCAGGCTTGGCAAGCGGCATGCGGCCCTGCAATAGGAGCAGCTGCAGGATGAGCTGCTGTTGTTGTTCCTGAATGGCTTTTTCTCCTCTCACGCAGCTCTTTGAGAACTTCTCCTTCGGCGAGGCGCAGCTGGATGCGGTGCTGCTCTCTCAGCGCTACTCCTCGGATGCCTCTGGGTACTATGGCACAGCAGGGCGGCTGCTACTGCGCTGATCTAGGGGTCAGTTGCTGCACGAGTGATGGAGGGTAGCGACTGCACGTGGCTTGGGGGCACCTTCTGCCTTGTAGCATGGCCGTTCTGCAGGGGGGGAGTCTGGAGGTTAATGGGGGGGTGTGGAATCCCCCCGCACTGTTTGACCACGGTGAGGGCTCAGCTCCAGCAGCGTGTCTGCCTGGTGTCAGCCTACAAATAAAGGAGTTCTGTCCACGAGCAAGCGTTTGTCTCTCGTTTCACTGATGGCTCCTGTGCTTCAGCTCACGGTGTAGGCAGGGCTCACGGTGAGCTCGGGCTGCCCAGCCGTGGCATTGTGCACCTCCAGGGATGGGGCACCCACAGCTCTGGGCAGCAGTGCCAGCACATCACCACCCCTCTGTGTGAAGGATTTCCTCCTGACACCTAAGCTAAATCTCAGATCTTTTAGTTTACAGCCGTTCCCCCTCGTGCTATCACTCTGCCCACGCATAGAGGCGGTTCCCCCTCCCGCTTACAAGCTCCCTGCACGCGTCCTTGTTGCTACCGCAAACGAAAGCGCGGATTTCCCGCAGCCCCGGTACGGGGCACGGCGGGGCCGCCGGGCGCGGGGCTGGGGCCGGCCCGAGGGGCGGCGGGGCTGCGGCAGGGGCGGGGCTGGGGCGGGAACGATGCTCCGCCCCCGATGCTGAGCCCCCGGCCCCGCCCCCCGGCCGCACTCGCCGCCGGCGCCTCCCCGCGGTGCGGAGCGGTGCGGTGCGGTGCGCTCGGCTCGGCTCGGCCCCCGCCGGCGCTGCGGCAGGATGCGGGGCTGCGGCGGGCACCGCGCCCTGCTGCCGGCCCTGCTGCCCGCCCTGCTGCCCGCGCTGCTGCTGCCCGGCGCCGCCGCCGCCACCGGCCCCGGCCCCTCGCCCGGCGGCAATTTCCTGGAGGACGAGCAGTGGCTGTCCTCCATCGCGCAGTACGGCGGCCGCATCCGGCACTGGAACCGCTTCCGAGACGTGAGTGCGGGGCGCGGGTGGGGGCGGGCGCGGGGTGCTGCCCTTCGCCCGTCCTCACCGCCGCTCCGCTTTGTTCCGCCGCCGCCCCGCGCCGCGCCGCAGGAGGTGGAGGTGAGCGGGGCGGTGCGCCGCCGTCGGTGCGCGGTGCGCGGGGCTGTGCCGGGCAGCGCTCTGCACCACGCGCGGGTGTCCGTGTGAGCGCGTGGCGGTGTGCGGCGCGCGGGGCCGTGCGACGCGTGTGTCCGCGCGTGTGCGTGTGCGTGGTGCACGTCCGTGTGCCGCGGGTGCGTGCGGAGTGCACGAGGGCGCATAGCGCGTGCATAGCGCGGTGCTCGCGGGCGCGTGCGGCGAGCAGGTGGATGTGCGGTGCCCGTGCGTGTGCGTGTGCGCAGCTCGCGATGCCCGGCCGCGTGCGGTGCGTGAGCGTGCTCTGCACCTGTGTGTGCGCGACGCCCGTCTGTGCGGCGCCCAGCCGTGTGCGGTACCCGTGCACGTGCAGCGTCCGTGCGCGCGCGGTGCCAGCCTGTGTGCAGCGCACCCCGCGTGAAGCGGCTGCGTGCACTGCATCACCCTGCGCTGTGCCCGCAGGACGACTACATCCGGAGCTGGGAGGACGGGCAGCCCCCGGATGAAGGTACCGGGGGGGGGTTGGTGCCGGCTGGAGGGAGGGGAGCACGGCCCCGTCCCAGCCTTCGGCAGCCTTGGGCGTGCGCGGCTGCATTCCCTGGGGGCTCGTAAGCGACCCCCCTGCCTTGCTCCCCAGGGGAGGACAGCACCAAGGACCCGTGCCAGAAGGTGAAGTGCAGTCGACACAAGGTGTGCGTGCCGCAGGGCCCGCAGCGCGCCGTCTGCGTCAGCCGCAAGAAGCTGGAGCACAGGTAGGAGCTGGGAGGGCGGGGGAGGTACGCATTTGGAATCGGAGCTGATTTGGAGTCGGAGCTCAGCGTGGCTCTCCCCGCCAGGATCAAACAGCACGGGGGCTGCAGGCCGTGCCACGCCGCCCACCCGGCGCCCGTCTGCGGCTCCGACGGACACACGTACAGCTCTGCGGTAAGCGCGGGGATGGGGGGGTCGTGGCGCTGCAGCCCCCCGTGACGCCACGCTGTGTCCCCAGTGCAAGCTGGAGCAGCAGGCGTGTCTGGCCGGCAAGCAGCTGACGGTGCGCTGCGATGGGCACTGCCCCTGCCCCACCCCCGGCAGCACGCAGGGTGAGTGGGGGGATGTGCATGTATGCGTGCCACGGGAGGCTGCGCTCGTGCAATTTTGGGATTCACCTGTGCAATATGTGGGGGTGCCCCCATGCGTCCACACAATGTAGCGGTGCACCCATGCAACGTGCAGGTGTTCCCATCAATTTGGGGATGCCCTTGGGTGGCACAGGGTTACACGCATGCAATCTGGGGACACGTGTGCAATGGAGTGATGTATCAGTGCACTGTGGGAGTGTCCCCCACCCCAACGTGACCTCACTCCCGCAGAGCCATGCACTGGGCAGGACCTGGCCGACCTGGGGGAGCGGTTGCGGGACTGGTTCCAGCTGCTGCGTGAGAATGCCAAGCACAATGCCTCCGGAGGGACCCCCGGCACCGGTGCGACCCCAACCCCACATCCCCCTTGTCCCCATGTCCCTTTGGGGCCGGGTCCCACGGTGGCGTTGCCCACAGCACTGGCGGCCGGCTGCAAGGAGGCGGTGGGGTGGATGTTCGGGCGCTTGGACACCAGCGGGGACCGCGTCCTGGAGCAGCCAGAGCTGGCTGCCATCAACCTGGACAAGTACGAGGCGTGCATCCGCGCCTTCTTCAACTCCTGCGACACCTCCCGTGATGGGCGCGTCACTGCCGCCGAGTGGTGCCTCTGCTTCTGGAGAGAAAGTGCGTGTGGCTGGAGAGTAACAGGGGGGTGCATGCCTTGTGGTTTTGGGGTGTGACAGAGGGGAGGGATGTAGATAATAGGGTTAGGGAGATGCAGAACGCTGGGGGGATGCATGCTGCAGGGTTGGGGAATGTGCACAAGGGGGGTTGCATGCAATGCAGGGAGGGTGGTGCTAGGGGGATGCACTGCACAGCATTGTGTGCACAACACAGGGTGCATGCAGTCCTGGGAGGAGGCACGCTATGGGGTTGGGGGAATGCATGCCATGGGGTCATCAGATGCACTGCGCAGCATCAGGGAAATGTATGCACACCATGGAGGGATGCACGTTGCAGGGTCAAGGGATGCACACCATGGGGGAACGTATGCGACATGTGGAGGATGGACACAATGGGGGGGTGGATGCAGTGCAGGGAGGAGGCATGCCACAGGGTTGTGGGGATGCACCTCACACCATGGGGCTGCCCCCTGAACGTGTGCGGGTGCCGCAGAGCCGCCGTGCCTGCGGGAGCTGGAGCGGCTGCAGATGCAGGAGGCAGCCAAGGCACAGCCTGGTGAGTCAGGGTCCCGGGGAGTCCTGGCCCTCCGATGCGGCGGGGCTGGGGTGCTCTGTGCCAGGGGAGTCCGGGCACTGCACGTCTTCTGGGGTGCGTCGGGGGCCCGATTTTCTGCAGGCACCTTCGTGCCCAGCTGTGATGAGGACGGCTACTACCGGCGGGCACAGTGTGAGCCAGGCGGCGCGCAGTGCTGGTGCGTGGATCCACAGCACGGCACCGAGCTGAGCGGCACCCGCTCCCATGGTCATCCCGATTGTGGTGAGCTGGGGGAGATTGTGTGGTGACACCCCCAAGTGGTTGGGGGGCCCCGTCACTGAGTAATCCCTGTGCCCACAGAGGATGCAGCGGGGTTTTCAGGAGACTTCGGCAGTGGCGTGGGCTGGGAGGACGAGGAGGAGAAGGAGCCTGAGGAAGCAACCGAGGAGGCAGAGGAGGAGGAGGCCGAGGCGGGTGAAGGAGATGATGGTGGCTACATCTGGTAGAGGCTGGGGGAGGGGGCACGGCTGGGGGAGCCCGTCACCCCATTGCCCCCCGGCACAGAGCGCAGGGGCAGCCCTTCGCTCCAAGCGGGACAGGGCTGTGGGGCGCTCGCCCGGGCGGGCCCCAAGGCGGGCGGGGGGTGAGCAGCGCGGGGCTGAGCTCGTGCCCCCCACCCCCCCGTTTGCGCTTTTTTTTGTTTTATTTTTAATTAATTTTATTTTTCGGGGGAGGGGGTGGGAGGGAGGGGAGTAGAACCTAGCGTGCTGCTGCGTGGTCAGAAAGTGCACTAATAAACAAAAATTGGGAAAAAAATGGGAAAAAAGCAAAAAAAAAAAAAAACCCACCACCACCAACTCCCTTCCCTCCCCACCTGCTCCTCCCCCCATACCCCTGACCCCCTGTCCGTGCTGTGCTTGCTGCTGCGGTGTTGTGAAATAAACGCCCGTGCTGTGTCGAACGCTCCATGCCCGTTCCTGGCCCTTCCAGCCCCCTCCCTAGGGCTCTGTCCCCATATGTGCCCCGCTTGGGGGGCCACCACGTTCCACTGACCCCAGCCACCACCAGGGACTCCAGGGCTCAGGTGAGGGCTTTTATGGAAGCACTCCAATTTTGGGGGAGGGGTCACAGCTTGCTGGGGGGCCGCTGCTGCAGCCGCCATGCTGCCTGTGCCCCCTCGCTGGCAGCATTGAGTGGGGCGAAGGCAGCAGGGTTCCCGCTGCAGCGATAGCGGGCAAGGGGTGTGTGCAGCAGGGAGATGGGGATGCAGAAGTTGAGGTGTGGGTAGGTGGTCCCTGCAGCGTTGTCCCGTGCGTTGCTGGCCACAATGCCTGGAGGAGGGAGATGTCACCAAAAGGATTAACGTAATGGGGACACTTGGGGGATGCAGCGGGGACAGGGGCTCACCTAGCAGACATCCATCGCGGGCAGAGAGCAGGGGGCCGCCACTGGAGCCAGCGTGCACAGCACAGGTGCTCTGCAGCATCACCGGCGGGGTTCCCACCACGGCTGACAGCACACCCCCTGTCACCGAGGGGCCACACGCACGGCCCAGCGCCCCAAAGCCCAGCGCCAGCACCGCCTCCCCTGCACCACAACATTGGTGTTAGGACACTCCATCACGCCCCCAATGGCACCCCTACACAGGACCCCACTGTCCCCATAGGATGCCACTGTCCCAGCCCCACTCCCCCATGGCATCCCACTGTGCCCTGTACCTCCCAGCCCGAAGCTGGCACTCACCGGGTTGGAAAGTTGTGGCAAGGTCAGGGGGCTGGAAGCTGGGCACGCTGTCCTGCAGCTCCAGCACTGCCACGTCGAAGGGGGACGCCTCAGATGTGGCGAACACCAGGCGGGCCTGCAGGATAGTGTCACTGTGGGTGCAAAATGGGGATAAAATAAAGAAAATAGCAAAAAGCAGGGTTAGGGGTGAGTCAAGCAATGGTCATGGCCCTGGGGATGCTGAACAGTCTGGTCTGCAAAAATGCAAGTCGCACCTTGCACTGCATCTTACATTGCTTCCAAACTGGATGTGGCCAAAGGGAAGCAGCTCTTGGCTGCAGTGCCCCAGCTCTTTCACGTTTATTGCATGACCTATTTTGGGTTGCATCCTCATTGCATGACCTATTTCAGATTGTGTGGCCCATGCTGGGTTGCATGACCTTTGCTGGGCTGCACACCCATGTTGGGTTGCAGAACCATTGCACAGCACAGCCCATGTTGGGTTGCAAAACCATGCTGGGTTGCACACCCATAGCATGGCCCATGCTGAGTTGCATGTCCCATGCTGGGTTGCACGGCTGTGTTGGATTACAGACCCTGTGCACGATCCATGTTGGGTTGCACAACTACGCAGGCTTGCATACCCGTAGCATGGCTTATGTTGGGTTGCATACTCATTGCATGGCCTACGTCGGGTTACACACCCATTGCATGACTCATGTTGCGATACCCAACCGTGCTGGGTTGCACACCCGTTGCATGGCCCATGCTGGGTTGCATACCCATTGCACGGTCCATTCTGGGTTGCACGACTGATGTTGGGTTGCATGACCAACATTTGGTTACACGCCCATTGCAAGACTCATGTTGGGTTTCACCACCATTGCACACCCATCACACACTGCCCACCCGCAGCCCCCATCACCCCACAGGGCTACACTCACCACGTGGTGCTGTGCCGCAGGGTGACGCGCAGCGGGGCGCCCAGTTGCAGCACATGCCGGCAGGTGAGCAGCAGCCGCGGGGCCACCAGCGTGCCCGACCCCCAGCTGCTCCCGCTCTCCACCAGCACGGCGCAGCGCGGTGTTGGGCTGCCGCGGGCGTCGGGCAGCGGCAGTGGCGGAGGCAGGCTGCTGAGCTCGGGCAGCACTCCGTGGGCACTCTGCAGGAGGGCGTGCAGGGAGCAGAGCAGCGCCAGCCCCAGCCCCTGGCCGCCCTGGCAGCCGGCAGTGGCAGCAACGACGGCCACGAGACGCGGTGGGGAGGATGCAGGAGTGAGGGCGAGCACGGGCCCGCCTTGCGTGCCGGGCAGGCAGCGTGCGTCGGTGAGCAGCAGGGCACGGTGAGGCCCGGTGGCATTGCTCAGCACACCGGTGCTCAGCGCATTGAGAAAGAGCTCAGGGCAGAGCGCACCGAAGGGCGTCCCGCAGGTCAGCAGCGCCGCGCCCTTGCGCAGCGTGGCTGCCGGGGCCCAGGGCGTCCAGGTACCACCAGGTGTGTCCAGGCCGGGCACCCGCAGCCAGCAGAACCAGGGCAGGGCCTCGGTGCTCTCCTCGGCCGTGCTGAGCGTGCCAGGCAGTGCGCGGGCGAAGGCATCGCAGCGCAGCAGGGCCAGCGGGCACGCGACGTGCTGCTGCACGGCTTCAGGCGGCGGGGCAGCCTGCAGCACCGAGATGTGCAGCCCGGGCCGCAACGCCGAAGGTGGCAGGGCATCGCCACGGGGCCAGGCCGTAACGTCGGGCTGCAGGTAGGGCACCAAGACGGCAGCAGGGCAGAGCACCAGGCCCGGGCTGCGGCAAAGGATGGCCCCGCTGCAACTGCTTGGCTCCACGTCCGCCTCCGAAGGGTCCGACACACTGACCACGCAGCCGGGCAGCTCCCACGGCACGGCGGTGCCGTCCTCAGCCATCTGCACGGCAGCGGGGCGAAGCAACGCAGAGCAATGCAGCACGGAGCACGCAATGCAGAGCGACGTGACGCAGAGCAAATCAACGCAGAGCAACGCAGAGCAACACAACACGCTGCAACTCAATGCGGAGCAACTCAAGCAACGCAGAGGAACCGGAAGCAAAGCAAAGCAAAGCGACGCGCTGCCCCACCGCCGCCATGGCCGCACAGCCCCGCACCGCCCCGCACAGCCCCGCACCGCCCCGCACCGCCCCGCTCGCCCATTGGCCACCGGCAGCCCCGCGGCCCGACCCCATTGGCGAAGGCGGTGCTGAGCGTGCCGACGTGGCGAGAGGCCGGGCGCGGGCGGGGCGTTGCACAACGGTAGGTGGGCGCTGCACAGGGTTGCGCCATGCAAAGCAGCAGGGAGCGCCCACGCTGCTTTTTCTGTGTCTCCACCTGCAGGATCGAAGGCAAAGTTAAAATCTCTCCTCCTCCTACCATCTTCAACTCCTGGAAGGGCAGAAAGTGTGACTGCTGACGAGCAGCAGGGGCAGGAGGTGCCCGCAGCCAGCGGCACTCGTGCACCTCCAAGCAGCCAGTGGGTGAAACACCTGCTGGGCACCGCCAGCGAGAGCAAAAAGACACGTCTTTATTGAACGCAACGTGAGCTAGACAGCAAGGAAACTTCGACAAAAAACCCACCGAGTAGAAAAGAAACCGCTGCGGCCTACACTAACAACCTTATGATATGCCAACGTCCAACGCTTCCATGCTGCAGCCGCTGCCGGCGGCCCTGTGGCCCACAGTGGCACTCCGAGGGCGGGCAGTGCTGCAGCCCTGTGCCACACGTGCTGTCCCAGACCCTCGCTGTGTGTCGGCGTGGCACAGTGCGGGCATCCCACGGAGTGCCGGAGCCGGCTGCTGCTCATCGAGGACTTCCATATCGTGATGCTTTGTTTGGTAATTTTGCAAAAAGTCTAAATATGTTTTTAAAAAACCCTAAAGAGACTCTGGACTAAACAAGATGAATGTTAAAACTAAAGAGTTAGAAGGGACGCCGTTTACATTAACACTTTCTTTAAAAAATAGAATTGCTTTCTCGTTGTTCTTGAAGTCAGCTGGTCACAGTGGTGAGACGCGCTCCTTCCAGCGGCACGGAGCGGTGCCACGTCCTGATCCCGCCGGCCGTGTCGCTGCTGGAACCGCGGCACCCGAGGGATGGAGCCACACCGCGTCCCCGCGGCAAAGAAAGGAGTTGTGTCACCACTGTGCAAGGATGGGCGCTCACCAGGTCCCACGGTCGCGCCGCTCTGGGGTTGGGAAGCCTTCTGTGTCCCGACAGGACAGTCCATAGGGAGCTGCGAGCAGGATCAGTCCGGGATCGCGCTCTGCATCAGTCAATGTACTGCGACAGCCAGCGGAAGCCCTCGCCGTAGCCTTGCCTCTTCAGCACGCTGCACATGAACACCTCCATGGGGCGCGCGTTCAGGTCCTTCAGTGGCACGTTTCCCTGAAGGCCCAGAGACAAGTCAGGAGCACAGCCAGCCCAAGGCGATTCCCGAAGCCAGTGGCTGAGCAAGCACCCAGAATGCTTTGCTACTGTTACCCAGCACTTCTGATCAATTCTAATTTTAAGCACTGACAACGGGGTGAGGCAGTAAGCTGAACAAAATTTGGAGTAATAAAACCAGAAGAGCCTGACAACGTGTTAGCCACTGTCAAACTCCAGCACAGCACCTTATTTCCTAACTAGGAGTGCTGTGCTTTGCACAACTCTGGATGTTTCAAAACTCGCCTGAGGGCATCAGTCTTATTAAAGGTTCAGCCTAGTCAAATGTTTAGGACAAATCCACAGGAACAAACCACTTGGCTTCCAGAGGGCACTTCCCTCTGCAAGGAACATGTACTTGTAAATGCCCAGACCACATGCCTCCCTACCTTCCCCGTGGTCTGTCCGTAAAGCCCGAAGATCTCCCGCAGTTTCTCCTCACTGATGGCCTCGGGTCTGTCAATTTTGTTGCCCAAGATAAGGATTGGCACATTGGATATTGTTTCATCTGTCATTAGCGCCTGCGTGCAAGACATCTTTAAGTTACACAGAGGCAGAATAACCATCTGTCATCTGAGGAAAGCTTTGTTTCGGTAAGCCCTGTGACCCACAAGGGTTATTCCTTGGTGCTACAGTGCTCCCGTGGGAGGGGTCTTCCCAGAAGGCCTTTGCAGGACGCATGGGCCATTTCCAAAATTCCTTAAAGTGTGCTCAGGAGCCTACAGTCACCCCACAGCAAGGGCATGTAGGCTGCCTCGAGTCCCATGCCACCAAAAGGGAACATTCTTTATAATTTAGCTAGTCAGGTGTCAGGGAAAGGACAAAAAAGTGAAGTTTACATTAAGCTCAACTTTGGACTCCATAAGCCGGGAGTGATCTGCACAGTCCACCAAGAAGACGATCCCATTGATGGCAGGCAGGTAATTCTTCCACACCCGGCGGGCTGGAAGGCAAGAGACAAACAACTCCCGTGAGAACAGCAGGGCTGCTGTGCTGGGGTTCGTGGGGCAGGCTGGGACAGCCAGCCAGCAATGCTGCTCGTGCTCTCCCCACTTTCACAAGTGATCAGATAATTGCTGTGTGACAGACGCTTGTCAGCAGGCAGCCAACACTTGTGCACAGAGAGTTTGTCTATGCAATACTGATGAGTGCTATTCCTGTTGCAGCAACAGCCCTGACTGTCAGCCTGCTTGTGGGTATTCAGAAAAATACACAGAAAAAACTTCTCTTAGGACTTTTAGAAAGGAAATCTGAAGATAAAAATTCAGTGATTATTCAAAAGAATAAGCCTGTGAGATACAAGCCTTCTACAGCTAAAAATATTTAAGGCAGCAGAGCATGAGCTGGCAGCTTTTTTTTTTTTTTTTTTTCCAAGCTGCCAAAATAAAGCACAAGCATTTAGCCACTGAAACAACCAGTTTCCTAGAGCCAGGCCATTTCCACTAATAGAACGTATGGTAACCGTTGAGCCATGGCCTGGACCACTGATTGATCACCTGGGAAAAGGACCCAGTTAGCCCCAGGAGCACAGGTGAAGGCAATTCAGCTATGTTACTGTAAGGGGTGGAGCCTGGTTGCAACTCTCTTACACCCCATTTAAGGGCTGACTGCCATGAGGGAAGGATCTCTTTCTGGAGGTTCCTTCTCTATGGAGTTTTCCTTTGTGACCCTAGATCTTCAGGTAAGTAGTCTTTTTTCCTTTCCTCATAACATCTTTCTGTTGTGTTAGTCCCTCTATCACTATACCACTTGTATCACCTTTCCAGTGTGTTGATCTTTCTGACTTCACAACCACTTTCAAGCTACAAGCAGTTAGATACTGCCAATTCCCATCGCTCCCTAGCACTTCTTTTTGGGAGATTTTTTCCAATTTTCCAAAGGTGGCTGGGGAACACAACTGAAATCAGCAGACCCTTCTCAGTGAGCTGGCATTTACCTTGCTCGTGGCCACCTAGATCAAAAGTGGTGAAGGTCATTCCAGCAATTGTCAGCTCCTCTGAGGCTGGAAAGCAAAAACACAGAAAAAAGAAAGGAATTATTATAGCTAGTGGTTCTTGGGGATGTGCACCAGCATCATACAGCCCTTGTGTCAGATCCCTGTTTCCTGATGAACTCAGCCACTGAAACTCTTTCATGACTTCACAAATGGGAGAAAATAACTTCCTTGCCTCTTACTTAGGGACATGCTTATCAATCTGTGTTTTTTCATCCCTTACCGTGCATCCAGGAGTTGGACTCAATGATCCTTATGGTTCCCTTCCAATTTGAGATGTTCTGTGATTTTTATCAGAAGCCCTCTCCCTCCCCAGGTGTGGTGTGTGATATTCGCTAACCCATATCACTTCTTGGCCACTATATTTGAAAGTAAAACACCGATTCACATCAGCCCCAGAGCAGAGCGCGCAAGGCAGACGTACTGGGGTGCAGTGTGGGGACGTGCTGGCCCAGCCGGTCGTCCTTGAGCATGTGCAGCAGTGTGGTTTTGCCCGCATTATCCAGGCCCAGGAAGACGAGTTTTCCAGACTTCTTGTAGAGCCCTGGAGGCAAGCAGAGAGAAACACATCTATGGGTCCCTCTCCAAAGCTGGCTGCCACCTGTGCATTCACACTGCTCCGAGAAGAAATAAAAGACGCGAATCTTGCTAAAACAGTGCCTGCAAATCTGTGAGCTCGCTGTACGGTAATGTGATGATCTGTTACCCCAGAGAGGGGTTCAACGTGAAGATGGGCAGAATGCATCAGGCAACAGCAGGCTGCTGACACCAAGGCCGGGCACAGAGTAACGCTTCGCTTCCTTGAGGAGACAGCCCGTCTGCCCCGGGCCGGCCGGCTTCCTGCCAGCGGGGCCTAAACATCAACCCCTCCCCTCGCCCAGAACGACGAGACGGGCATCTGCAAGGAGCCGGGACGGCGGCCGGAGGGCCGCAGGGAGCCGCGCCGCGGGGCCTCACCCAGGAACTGCAGCACGCTGCTGAAGCCGTTGTAGATCCACTCGAAGATGAAAGACATCGCTGACGATCGAGCGCCTGCGGGGCACAGCGGCAGCCGGGATCAGTGACGCGGCCAGGCCCGCCCCCCGCTGCTCCAAGCCCCCCTTCCCCCGAGATCGTCCCCCCGGTCCGGCCCTCCCCACGGCCTATTCCGGCCCGGCGCCCACCTCCGGCCGCGGCGACCCCGCTCCCGTTCCGCCGCCAGCTCCCCGCCGGAAGTGCGTCGCTCCTGCGCCACGCCCGCTTCCGGTCCGCCGCGCTGGCTCCCACGTCGGCCCTGCGGCGCTACGTCACGGCGCGCCGCCACCGTGCCTCAACCACAGCCCGCCCAGCCAGCCTCTGGAGCGCGGGTTCGAGTCCCGCGAGCGGCAGCGTGGCGAACATCAGGCTCCTCCATCAAACACCGCCGGAGCAGCGACCTCCCCGCTCCCTCAGAGCAGGGAAAGGAGCGCGGGACGCACAGAAGAGAGTTCAGTAGTTTTATTTCTAACATCCAGCACGCGTACCAGGTGAGCCTCTGAACATAAAGCCGTGCAGGTGCTGACACTTACAAAACACCACGAGACCACGCACAAGCAGCAGCTTTTGATTGACAAATTATGTCTTCTAGCCTCCGCAAGAGCCAATACATCAGGCGTCACGGCTAGACAGGCGGTTCTAATTGGTGTAAGTCACAGGCAAGGTCTCCGCCTTGTCACCAGCACTATTCTTCTGGGCTACTCCTGCACGTGGTGACTTCGCGGTGGGAAGGATGCAGCTGCTGCACCAGGCATCCTCAGCCTTCAGTTCTTCTGGTAATAGAACCACCTGTCAACTGCATGGGGCAGAACAAAGCAGGGTTAGTCCTGTACGGCCACTCCATGAACTGGGATGGTTCAGTCTGGAGGACAGCAGGTTCAAGGGGGACCTCATCGCTCACTGCTACTCCTGAAAGGAGGTGGAGATGAGGTGATCTGAAAGGGCTTTTACAGCACAATGATTCAAGTGTGAACTGGCCCAAAGCTGGCTTGCACAGTGCTGTACACATCACCTCCAGCTCAGCTTCCCTCGCACCCATCTGACTCAGCAGGTCTAGGAGTTGTCCCACAGTTGCCATTTTCCTACGCAGCTGTGCACTGCACAACAGACCAGGTCCTGACACGCAGAAAACCTTACTACCAGCTTGCAGCTGCCACTTGCTTAGCCTTTGTCAGCAGCCGCTGAAGCACTGCACTCATGGCCATTTTCTGCCTCTCTTTGTGAAGATGAAGTGCTTCCCTTTCTCACTTCACCTGGACTGATGACACTGATGAAACCCTGCTTGGGAGGAAGTAGTGAAAACGCTGCTGCTATCATTGCACTTCAGTCCTCTGAAGTGCTCTTCTTCCAGTATTGAGGGACTACTACAGATCAAACTTCACAGTGAAGTGGCATCCCAGGTCTCTTGCTTACATCCCAGCATCACGTACCACAGCAAGGAAGTAAGGCCCCAGTACAAGTGATGTGGCAACTGAACAGCATTACTGAGACAAGACATGTCTGACAAGGCCCATAACTATCAGTCTTGATCCTCCTCTTCCTACTGACAGTTTCCCTGAGGAAGTCCTCACCAGAATGAATGTGAGTTTGGGAACTTACCTTCAGGTGGGATTGGGTTGGCAGCTTTACATGGTGGTGCCTGAAACGAGAAGTAGAAGAGTAGGTAGCAGCTGTTAGTGCAGACTAATCTCACAAGAGATCACTTTGAGCTGTGCAAATCACTTCTAAACACAGTTCTAGACATGAGCCACATAAATTTGTCTGTGGCAGTCAGGGCTGGCCAGCTATGAAGGAACATACAAGTTCATGTTCAGCTGAGCCTGGCCATAGCACAGCCTCCTGCCACGTGCCAGCAGTGCTTTGCTTTAGGTAGATGTTTGTCCTGCTCATACTGCAGGGCCAGAAGACACAAGGCTTTCAATCCATGAGTTAAGCAGATGACCGTGACAGAAATCTAAGGAGATATTCTCCTTTCCAGTAGTGTTTCTATGCACTGAAGCAATATTGCTGTTCTAATCTTGCTGTCCCTCCAACCACTTTCAAGTTGCTTATATATTTCATAAGCCTAGGGAGATTCATTTGAGTTCTGACTTGGAATAATGGTACTTAAACTGGAAACATCAAGCTTCTCATTGCAAAACATTCAGGGTCCATGGTGGCGAGTCTCTCAGAAAGTAGACTCTCTTATTTCAAAGGGTAATGTGTACTATGAAGCTTGTGAAAGGTCAAATACTTGAACATACACTGAGCAGCTGACAGCCAAGCTACAGGTCAGAAATGCAGCCCTTCACACAAAGCCTGGTTTGGCTTCCTCTCCCAGATGACCAAGAGTGAAGAGAAGCCTCTAGAAAAATATCTTTCTTGCTCCACGTTCATCTTATTTAACCAGAAATAGATGCTGTGTTCAGTCATTCAAACTTTCTGAGCACACAGAGTGCTATTCACTCAAAGATGAAGGTTTATGGTACTACACAAATCACACTGTCTTGCCTCACACCGACAGTGGGGATAGGACACATCCATTTGTACTCACTGCATCCACAGTAGCTTTTGCACACTCTTGACTACAGCAGAAGGGGCTGCCTGAGACTGTCAGATTTGTGCTGGAAGAGAAAGGTTGCTTGTGAGTACACAGAATTCAAGTCTATCCCACAAGGGCATCAGATGACAGAATACCAGGCATCATCATTGTAGCTGCCTGCAGAGATAGCAAGCAGCTAACAGAAAGTGTGTCGGTAGATGGAAAAGGAAATTCCTTGTTGCTTCTGGGAAAAGAGAGAGCATAGCAACACAAGCATTAACCTACCAGCTGATCTCTCCTCCGTCAGTTTTTTTAGCTATCAAAGCTTTCCAGTGTTCATGAGTGCTTTTGATAATGTTCACTGCAAAATCCTAAAGTTGAAGATGAGAACAAACATTGCATTAGGCATAAGCACTAAATAATTTTCTCTAACCTCTGAGTTCCCTGCAATAAATGGTCTCCCCCCATTCTGGGTGGATCATTCAACAGCTGTGTCTATCAACGGGAAGAGATGCACAGCTATTCTAGGCTTGTAACTGTTTGAAAAGGAGTCTACTTCCAAGCATAGCAAGCTTTTTTCCTTTAAAGCAGTAGTATATACTCACACATTAACTGGCCAGCTGGAGATGAAAGCACACACAATTGTCCCAGCATGAAGGCCAGCAGTAAACATCCTGGTTTGACGCAACACGAAGCCAAGTAAAACACTGCAGCAACGTGTGCAAGGGCCCTTGTTGCTACCTTCTGCCTTGATTACAGTTTTGCCCATGCTGAGGGGCAATGAGATGTCCCAGTCCACCCAACCTTACACAAGGAGTTAAGAGAGCTCTCATTCAGGAGCAGGAAGTTACTTCACTACACACAGAGAAGAAACAGAGACAAAGGGATCATGCTGCTGCGGCAGAGCCCTTTTTCTAAGGGAACCAGGGAACACCTGACAAGCTTTGCTCTTTAGGCCTGAAATGATGAAACATTTTAACTCTCAAGTTTGCCTCCCTCCTTTCCTGGCTTCCTTCCACTGCAGCCTATTGCAAGTCAAAGAATGACATCATATACCCTTTGCTCCAGTTAGGAGCAAATAAACCCCACGTTTTCTGTTGTTCTGATATGGAGATTGCCAGCCCTAAAGTGATCTTGTGTAAACATCACTTAGAAGACAGACTAATAGTATACAACATAGCAGGGCAACAACCCTGTGCTTCTTCTCCTAGTATTTCTGCAAGCATCAGCTCAGAAACAAGCAGAACGGTGGGCTGGAAAAGCAGCAGGAAGAATGAAGGTGGCTGTCCTCCGGTGCTGTGGAAATCCACTCTGTCAGCAACTACTCACTCACATCTTCATGCCACCAGAACTCAGTTTTTAGGCAGCATACCTTTGTCCGTTCACAGTCACAAAGAATGCTGACCCTACCTTATCTTTAAATTCTCCATTAAAAGCAAACTGGTTTTCTGGCTTTCCATCAGGAACTTTGTATCTTCTAAACCAGTCCACCGTAGCTTCTAAGTATCCAGGCTTCATCCTTCTGACATCATTGATATCTGGCCAGAAAGAAAGGTTGGTCAGCCAGATCCTACAGCAGAAGTTACTCTGCTACTGTTCCAGTCTTTTGAGCTCTTTCAGCTGCTCCTGACATAGCCCTAGCACCACCCCAGATACTTTCCAACAAACACAACCTGGATGCCTGTGCATGGAGAAGGAACTCAGCATTTCATTCTCAGAACAAAGTCACACTGACACATTTAAACAACTTTGATGAGAGACCTGCTGGACAATGCTTCCTTCCACTTACAGGACACCCTTTTCTTCAAGATACTGTCTGTATCAGAAATGCTAAGTCATGGCCAGGACCAGTGACTGAGCACCTGGTGGGAAGGCAGGGCCAAGCCAGGGGAGCTCAGGTGCATGCAATGCTCCTGAGTGACTGAGAGGGGTGGAGCCAGGATCCACCCCTTCCCAGACCTCATTTAAGGGTTGGCAGTGGAGGTAAGGGCATCTCTCTGAAGATCCCTGTGTACCTGAGGCCTTCCAAAAGTAAGTAGTTTTTCTTCCTCTGTTTCTGTATCCACAGCTGTTGTGTTTGGGCTTGTTCTTATTTGCTGCAGCCTAGAATTGTGCCACTCTGCTATCATTGCTATACTTGATATCATAGCATTACCCCCTGCTATGCAAAGGTCTAAATTTGTGTAAATAGTATGATGTTTTGCTAGAGCTTAACATCCTATTCTGCTGCTATGGTCTGTATTGCATCTGTCCAAATGCTGACCCAAAAGCCTCCTACAGACACTTAAGGCAGGAAGGGAAGGATTAGACACGTTCCTCCCTACCGTTATAATTTTCTGCTTCAGGATCTTCAACGTTAATAGCAATTATCTTCCAGTCTGTTTCTCCCTCATCAATCAGTGCCAGCGTGCCTAGCACCTTCACTTTAATCACTTCTCCTCGTGAGCAGACCTACAAGGACAAAAGAGTTCTCTGAACACATTCAAGGAATGCACAATGGAATTGGTACAAGTTGTCAGAGCACAGCAAGCAGTCCCATACCACAAAGGCAGCTGTCTCTTATCAGCTCATGAGCCTAAGCTCATGGGGCTTGCACTGTAAGATCTCATCAACAATCTCTAGAGACAGCGGGAAGAAACATCATCTTCTTAAGATACAGGTGGCGAGAAATGAATAATGACTCTGAACAACTGATGTCAGGGACACTAATTACAAACAGTTACCCTCTGGAATGTATTACCTTGCTTCCAATTTCGCATACGTCAATTGGATCATTGTCTCCACAGCAGCCAGTGTTTTCATCCTTATGGCCTGGGTCTTCCCAAGTCTACAGGAAAGAAAAAAAAAAAAAAAAAAGCAAATATCTCCATATCTTGAATAGGGACTCAAGAAGCGAAAGGCAGGTGGTTTATTTCATGCATGCAATTGCCTTGAAGATACAGATGATGGTCCACCTCACACTCACTTTTACATCTAGCAATTGCATTACTGTTTTATGATTGCCTGTAAACGCAGTTTCAATCCAAGTTCTTATCCTGCCAAGGGTAAACTGGTCTTTCCTGCTGACAAACCCTTTAACAACTTTCAGACTTCCTCTTAAATTAAACAGCCACATAAAGGTGAAGTTCACATCTATAAAGAATGTTCACCAATTTGGCTTCCTGCCTGTTCCTCTCCCTATTCATTTCTTAACAGAAGTTTCCTGAAGCCCAGATAACAGAGGTGGAAGACAGACGGGTGTATTGCTTCCTTTTAGTTAAGCAGTTGACGGCAGCAGAGCAGAAGTAGGAACGTGAATCCCATACCCTTTGCTACCTGGTGTCCTTCTGCATCTCAGCAGGAGCAGTGAGTGTTTGAAGTCACACAGGGCTCCAGGAGGTACTGGAGCTGAGCCTCTGAAAACAACAGCTGCTTAAAGCACGTTTCTGCTCAGGAGCAAAAGGACACAATTCACTGGTTGCTAACTCACAGCACACAGGGTCTTTGAGATAATCCAGCCTGGGGGCTGCACACCAAGGCCCTGTAATGCAGCTTAAAGCTTCAGGTCCTACTGCTCCACCAGGCAGGAATGAAGCACGCAGAACTGCCAGACACCCACTGTGAGCCTTCAGCTCTCTTGTGCAGCAACCACATCCTGAGTCCAAAGACGAACACCGACTTCTGTGGCCAAACTCAAGGTGAGGAGTGATACAGCAGCTGCTTGTTATCACAGCAGCTTCTTTACAATGCCTACATGCCTGCCTCCGGAGACTTCTACCTGCAAACATCACTGCTCTCTTGACAGGTTCTCCTCATTAGCAGGATTATATGTACAGTTGCAGATGCGATGTTCCACTTCAGACTCTACTCTCTCATGAAATGGTGTCAGTCACACATAGGCACACCTCTTCCCCACCTGAAGAGTGAGACACATCCAGTACCTGTGGGATAGCACCGTAATTCCAGATATAGCCCTTGTGGGGAAACACATTAGCTACGTAGCGCAGTTTTCCCTTCTTCACATCTTGCTTAATTGGGTTTAAGGGATCCTTTGTTGCAATCTGAAAGAGAAGTTACATAAATCTCTGTGTCTGGCTCTCTAGGAAACCAGTGGCTTTTTCCACGAAGCTGGCTCTAACCCACAGGCTGCAGAGCCTGGAGCCCACAGGGAGAGCAGGCAAAGCCTGGGGTTAGCAGCCTGCTCAGCTCAACACTTCAGCCCGGAACCGCAGTACAGTTACCTCCATCTTAGCATTTGTCCATCGAGGTACTTCCACGACCATGTTGAACACATTCTGAAGAAAGCAAAACATCAGTGAACAGGTGAAACCTCAGTACCACACTTCAAAGTAGGGCGCATGTAAGTAAGTGTGAAAAACAGAACTTTATGTTTTCCCTAGTGCCAATCTTGATACTCCTGATAGATGTTCTGCAGTCATCACCATTGCATCATCACTCAAATGTTAATCTCATGAAGATAACCTAGATGCAGGTGTTCTGAGGTGGCAGCAGATGAAAGGTCTGTGTTGCCTTTCTACAGAACAGGAAACTTAAGTGGATCAGTGACAGCTGCACGGGTGCAATGTTCAGGCTTACATCACTTCCCAGGTGTTTGAGCCCCTCCTCTCACAGAAGGGGACCTTCTGGGTCAAGAGGTGCAGGGATAGGGTTGTTGGTGGAAACAGAGCCACGCTGTGCAGCATCTCACTTATGGGTGAGTCCTGTCTCTAGCTGTGCTGAGGGGACTCAGTCCCTTTTTCCTCAGAAAAAAAACAAAACAAAACAGCTGTTTCACACTTGAACTTTAACATTTGCTATCAGAAGAGATTACGGCTTTTAACAAACAGTCAAACCTTACCCCTTAGTATCTGCAAGGCTTCTAATTCCCAGGTTAAGCAGCATTAGCATTGCAAAGGTAATACCAGCCAGGCAATATCACACCATAATTAGATTGCTATTGTGTAACAAGTGCTGTCATGTCATTGACTTTGCTCGCACCCCTTCCTAACAAGTTCATTGCATATCCTTAATTGCAGGGGGTCACTTCCCACGTGTAATTAAAATGTAAGTGGATAGCTATTAGTTTTGTTTATACATAGCTGCAGAGAATGAAGAATTGGCTGTGCAGGTAGAGGATGCTTGGGGCTCTGCACACCTCTCCCCCAGCTCTGCTGCCTCAAGCTACAGACCTGGCTCGGGTGAGACACCCAGCAGGCAGCTGAAGGTCAGTCCCTCAGACAGGACACACGGATGAGGTCAGCACCTCTCAGCCCACGGCTGGAAAAGCTCCCTGCAGTAATCCTCTCTAGCTTACCAGTCTGCAGAGAAAGATCAGGGTGCTCAGACACAGTGAGACAGCCTGCTGCTGCTAATAAACCTGCCAAGTGAGAAACAGCCCTTGCAGCCTTCCAGCCCACAGGCAGCACTGCACCCCTGTAACCACCCTGCTCTGCTCCAATAGCACCTGCAGAGCACAGCATCACCCGAATTTTCCTGCTTTGAGGACCTTTTGAGCACGGTATCTGCTTCTGAAGACCAGCACGTCGCTGTCCTCCATGGCAGTCCGCCTCTTCTCAGCAGCCAAACGCAACGTCGGGGCGGCTCCAACCGCTTTCTGAAGGATGCCCTCAGCTCTGCAGCCTCTCTGCCTTCCCCATCACCACCCCCTACCTCCAAACCCCGGCGGTCTCCTCACCTTGCCGGCGTCCGCGTACAGCGGGATGTCGTGGAAGGGGGAGATGTACCGCCCGGCCGCGTCCTCTGCAAGGCAAAGCGCGGCGCTCAGCGGGGCAGCCCCTGGGGCCTGGGGTCCGCCCAAGGTGAGCGCCCCGAAGGGGGGTGGGGGGAACGACGGTTAGAAGAGGATGAGAGAAGGGATGTGAGGAGCCGGGGTCTGGTGCCAGCCACACTCACTGAAAAACAGGCGGTACTCCAGGCTGTGCGGCGCGGCACGCTCCTCCACGCTGTACCCCGCCATTGCAACACGCTCCCCGCCGCCCGCTCGGCTCACTGCGCAGGCGCCGCAGCCCGCGCTCCCCTACGGCCATAGCCACGCCCCCGAATTAGCCACGCCCCCACACTCATAGCCTCGCCCGCCTTTGTCTAGACACGCCCATCAGCACCAACCCCGCCCCATTCGGCCAATTACCCCGCCCCTTCTCACCTAGCCCCGCCCCCTAGTCGCCAGAGCCCCGCCCCCGAGCTCACCGCGCAGGCGCGAAGAGCCGTCCTGCTGCCCTGCCGCTGTGCGGTGGCTTGACGTGGCGCAGGGTGACGTGTGCGTGTAGAGTGGCGTGGGTGGTATGGATGGGGTGGTGTGATCCACCATGGCACGGCACTGCCTGGCCACAACAGTATGGGGTGTCATGATTCAGCATGGCACAGCACTGCGTGGCCATGGCAGCGTGAGGTGGCATGGTCTGCCAGTGCCACAACTACACGCTACTGTCCAGCATGGCCTCAGTGACGTAGTGTGGTCTGGCACATTGTGGCCACAACTGCATGGTCCACCAAGGCCACAAGAGCGTTGCACAATCCAGTAGGGCCATAGCAGCAGGGCATGATATGACCTAGTTTGGTATGGCAGCACAGGGCCAAAACAACACGATGTAGTTCCTCTGGGTATGGCCCAGGATAGTATGGAACAGCCCATGCGTGGATCTTCTCTCCCACTGCCATGCACCCCATAACGGTTGGCATGAGCTGGATAAACAGGGGACTTGGAGACATGACATCATTGGGTCGTGCCTTTATTTCAATAACTGTGTAAATCCCTATTCCCTTCCACTCCCCAACAAGCCCTTGGGTTGGACACACACTAATCAACACATCAAGACCCCAAAACCAGAACAATATGGGTTTCCTCCCTACCATAGTGCCATGCATGAGGTCCCCACTTAGACCCACATCTATCAGACAAGCTGGTGGCCACAGCTGCTCAGCCATTCCACGCAGGGATGCCAGCCCGCCGGGATGCCAGCGGCCTCGATTCTGAGTGTGGGGGAGAGTCGCTGGCCTGGGGCTGGGTGAAGACACGGTTGCGGGCACCATAGGGCCCACGGTGCCGCCGGCGTGGTGGCAAGCAGAAAGGTGCCCTAAAGGCCTCCTGGAAGCCCCGTCGGAAGTTCTCGTTGAAGTATCCGTAGATGATGGGGTTGGCGCTGCTGTTGAAGAAGGCCAGCCAGTGGGCAAAGGGAAAGACGTAGCCGGTGACCAGGTGCAGCTGGCGTTCGCTGAGGTGCCCGTAGTCTGTGAGCAGCATCAGTGTCCAGAGGGGCAGCCAGGAAAGAGTGAAGAAGAGGGCCATGATGATGAGCATGTTGATAACCTTCGCCTTCTTACGGGACACCTTCCTCCCCTCGGGCTCCTCGGGCCGGGTGCTGCGGGCGGGTGCCGCTGACTTGAAGAGCTTGAAGGCAATGCGAGCATACATGACGACAATGAGGGCAAGGGGTGCCACGTAGATGTGGGAGAAGAGGACGGTAGTGTAGATCCTCCTCATCTCTGTCTCGGGCCAGGCCTCCCAGCAGGAGTACAGTGGGTAGGAGTTGTTGTAGGTGTCCACCATGAAGTGGTGCTCCTCCCTGGTGACAGTTAGGGTGATGGCGGAGGGGCACATGATGAGCAGGGCCAGCACCCAGATGATGGCGATGGTCACCAGGGCTTTCCTCAGTGTCAGCTTCTGCCGGAAGGGGTGGACGATGCAGCGAAACCTGTGGGGTTGGTGGGACCTCCTTATCACACCTCAAGGAGGCAGCCAGGTGCATTAGCATAGCTTTGACCTGGAGGCTCTCTGAGTTTCCAGTTCACCATCACCACATCTTTGTGGGCAAACTGGGAGGTGAAGAGAGAGGGGATGTGGTGCTGCATGGTGTCCAAGCTTGGGAAGAGGGCCATGCCCACGATGGGATACCCCAAAGGAAGGAAGGTAGCCCCGTGGTGGGACTGGAGTGTTACATGCATTGGGAGTTGCCCTAACACCGTGCAGGATGAGGTGTCAGGATTCCCCCATCCCAACGTACCTCTCCACCGCGATGGCCACCAGCGTGAAAACAGAGGCGGAGACAGACATGCCCTGTACCAGGCCACTCATTTTGCACATGGCATTATCAAAGGGCCACCCTGCAAACACAGAGGGAGTGTTGGGAATAGTGGGCTGGCCCCTGTCCCCGTGTCTCCCCCAAAATCACCCCTGAGGTTGAACACGTTTGGCTTATCAACATCCATCAGCAACTCCCTCTAGATGTCCCCATCCACCATGTCATGGTAAATCCTAAGAGGTCCTAAGAGGGGGAGCTGTATTTTTTTCTTCTTATTCATACAGACATGGACTTCAGCAGTACAAAAAAAAAAAAAAAAAAAAAAAAAAAAAAAAAAGATGTGTATTACACTTTCCAGAAGGTTATAGAGCAAGGTTTCTGTTGGACTCCAGCTGTTATCAGAGAGACTGACCTTTGGGTCCTTGATCTGCTGGGCTTTAATTTGTTTTCCCCACTAAGGTATCTGCAGGTGTGGCACAGCACTGGGACGCAGATGATATCATGGAGCCAAAATACCACCCAAACCCTTTTTACCTTTGAAACACGGTGTAGTGGAAAAAGACCCTGTGGCCCCTTGGAAACAGGAGGATGTGACACCCTGCCTTGCCTGGGCATGGGGCCACAATTAATAAATTGCATGTGGCAATAAATACATAAATACTCTGTCCTGGCTGTGGCTTGTTCCACTCAATATAATGGAAAGCAGCGTTATGGCTTTGAACCTCCATCAGATATGGCTGAATGCCCAGCTACCACCCTCCTTGAACTCAGCACAAAAAATGGGAGAGAGTTTTGGAAGTGGCCTCCTAGGGAGAGCAAGGAGAATGTGGATGGTGTCTCTCAACACTTCCCTTCCCCATCACGTCTCGCCCCGTGCCCTGCTCACCTGTGATGAGGTTGTCCACCAGGGTTGTAGGCATGCAGAAGATGCCCACCAGCAGGTCGCTGATGGCAAGGTTGAGGATAAACATGTTGGTGACCGTCCGCATCTGGCGGTTCTTCACTACTATGAAGCACACCAGGATGTTGCCAATCATGCACATGAGGAAGATGAAGGTGTAGGCTAGGATGAACATCACAGCCACAGGCGAGGAGTGCTGGTAGTATGCCAAGAAGGTATAATTTTCCTTCAGGAGGTGGCTCTCGCTGGCGTTAGCCCAGCTACCATTGGAGGGGTCTAAGGAAGGGAAAGCAGAAAAATGAAGATGGAAGGGTATGAAGCAACGGTTCCCTTCTTTTCCCAATGCCCTCAGAGGTGGGGAGTCCCAGCCACGTCTCTGCTTCCAGCACATGGGGCTGGGTTAGCTCAGCAGGTGGGTTGGCTTGGCGGTGTGGATGTTCCTCAAAGCTCAGAATTAATTTTTGATGAAAGGTTAAAGAAGGCCAGCAGGCATCTTGTTCTTATGGGGTTTTCCTAGGGATCATGCAAGGAAAGCAGGGCATGGTCCATCTCCCACTGCACTACAGTGCTAGACCATGCAGGAGATGCATCTGTGTGGACTCCCACGCAGTTGGTACAGGAGCATGCAGAGTGTCCAGGTAGGAGGACCCCCTGTACTCTTCCACATGCAGCCTTAATTATACATAATTATTATAATTACCTGCGGCCAGGAGAGCTCCTGCTGGATGGGGGAACGTCATTTTGCCACTGCAGACCTACTGGGGGGGCAGATCCATGCACCGGTCCCCGGCAGGGATGTGGGAGGCTGCTGAGCAGGGGCAGAGTCACCCTGCACGCTCATTGGCTGCAGTTTTCAGGCAGGAAAAGGGAAATGTTGGACTGGGCAGCAGCAGAGCCCGCAGCAGCATTGCCTGATACCTATATTAAGCCCAAAACTTTGCCTGACTTTATCACCCTGGGCTGCAATCCCTTGCAGCATTGCCGGGTGAGAAATAAGAGGATGCTCCGGGAGGGAACTGGAAGGAGAGGTGAGAATAAAAGGCTCTGCGCTGGATGGGGATGCGTCCTCCTCGCACTCCTCGGCGGTGGGGACATCCCCGGGTCGATGGGGAAGGAAAAACCCGCAATGAAAGGAGGAAAAGGGATCCCTGCTTTGTGACTCACCCCCGCTTGGCTCCGGGTGCCGCAGCGCCTGCATCGGGAGGTGGGGAAGGAGGTTTCCTCCAACTGGGGGTCCCCGCCGCTGAGCATTGCTCCTGTGCCGCCGTCACCGCTGCTTGCGGATGCGGCAGCAGCTCGAGGGAAAGGGGAGGGGGGGGAGAAGCATCCTCCCATCGCCATGGATACCGGGGTACCCACAAGCGGCTCAGCGAGGCTGGAGCCGGAGCAGTTCTGCTCGCCCCCAGCGCTGCAGATGTGGTCACCTGGCTGCTCGGGTCCCCTTGCCCCCAACTATGTCGCACCTGGGTCTGTAGGGCAAGGCAAGTCCAGAAGCCGCATACTGCCCTGCATGGTGGTGGCCATCCCACGACCCCTTGGGGGAACCCCCCAGCATGCTTCCTCCCGGCGGAGGATGCAGGGAAAGCTTTCCCTGCTACATTCCAGTGCCTGGGAGCTAAGGGTCCTCCTAATGCCCTGCAGCACCGTGCTGTGACCCCCCTGCATCCTGTTCACAGCCGCCCAGCGCCCCCTGCAGCTCCCCCAGCATCCTCTCCGCGACATCCCCACCGCCCCTTGACACCCTCCTTGCAGCCATGGGGAGACCTTGGGGCACCACTCTGAACATGTGCACACACGTGTGCCCATCACGGGGACTCTGTGGGGACTCGGGCTCCTTCCAGCCCATTGCTGGCAACCAATAATCCATCAATGCAGCGAACACAATGCACATCACACATTTAATCAGGCATTGGGCACATCGTGCCAGCAGCTGGAAGCCCTGGGGAGCTCATGGGCCAGGGGGCACTCCTCCAGGCGCCGGGCAGCAGGGTCATGTCAGGCCGTGGGGACATTGCCCTCAGGTGACAGCAGCAGTTCAAAGGGGACCAGGGGCTGGACGAGCAGGCGTACAGCAGGGCACACAGGGTTGGCACGCAGGTTGAGGCTCCGCAGTGAGGACATGGTGGCCAGTGCCTCTGTTGGCACCTCTGCAAGGGGGGAACAAAGGGAACAGGATTTGTGAAGGGGAGGGTGTTTTTATTTAAACAACAACAACAACAACAAAAACAGAACAGGTTAAACGCAGCTGCAAAGCCTGGTGCTGCTCATGGCAATATGCATGGGCAGCAAGGAGCAGCAGAGCAGCAGCAGTGCCCATGCTTGCAGCTGCCTGCACCCTGCTGCCAGCTGTTTCCTCTCCTTGTCCTGCTTTCCCAAGCAGAACGGGTGGAAAGGAGAAAAGAGGCATTAAAACACAGCAAGAAAGAAAGCAAGAAGCCTCTTTCACAATTAAAGCCAGCGGTAATTTTCCTTTGATCAGAATATAATAATAACAGTGAAAAAATCCAGCTTGCTGGGATGAAAGGCTGCTGGGGAACCAGCAGGCATCGGAGGAAACCAATGATGGTCTAACCGGGGAGTGTGCAGCTGCATGGTGGCATCACTCTTAAGCACGAAAAATAATACTGTGGTATCACTGCAAAGAGCAGGGAAAGAGTTAAGAGCCCTGACGTTAATATATGCATCACTACTCTGCAGGTTAAGAGCTCCTTGAGATGAAAGGGGAGCTGGCAGTACTGAAGGGCTCCTTCCGGAGCCTAGGGCTGCAGGCAGGCACTAATCGATGTACTCATCCTCCCGTTTCCCTAGAGAACATCACCCCCTGCCTCGAGCTGTGGCTCAGCACCTCCCAGAAGACTCAGACCCCTTCCAGCAGATATCTTGAACCTGGTTTGGCCCTGAGAGCAGCTTTGTCTCCAGTGCAGCAGAAGGGAATGGGCAGAACCAGGAACCACGTGTGGTTGGCATGGCAGCACCAAAACCTGGTGTGCAAAGCCATGACCAATCAACCTCCATCCACCTTCTGTAGACTGCCATGCTTCTATCCAGAGCAGGATCCTCAGTTTGTTATGGAGCCAAGTGGTGCAACCTGGGTCCTGAGTCATAAAAGGTGGACAAACCCTCGTCTCCACAGCACTAAGACATGGTATGCTGGCTGGAAGCGTGCAGGCTGCTAGATAACAGCATGAGGATGAACTTTCAGGTGCTTCAGCATCATCTCCGAAGACACAGAGATGATGCTGGTCTTCTACCAGCCACAGCAGCAGGCAGAGGGCTCAAAGCCTGCATGGCCATCAAGGAAAATGAAGATGTGTGCTGGCTAAGCTCATGCTAATGTGTTCTCCTTTAACTCTCCTCTGCTGTTGAGCACAGTGAAGAAGAGGCAAATGTAAATAAAAGCTCATAAATCATACAAAAAGCTCAGCCTTGGGAGGCTCTACAGTAACCCAGTAGACTCTATGATGGTCCCAGACCATAGAGCCACGAGCCATTAAGTGGAGGAGCCCGGAGGGGTGGTGAGAAGGGATACGGTCACATCCACTACTTTTCCTCCCCAGCCCCCTCCCTCTCACCTGCGATCTCGTTCCCTTCCAGGTTGATGCTCTCCAGTGCAGGGGCAGCCGCCAGGGGCTCGGGGAAGTGCCGGAACTTGTTGCGGGCGAGGTTGATGGTGCGCAGGTGCAGCAGGGAGCCCAGCTCCTGGGGCAGGCGGTGCAGGAGGTTGCCCTCCAGGTTGAGCTCTGGAAGGGGAACAAAGCTGATCCTCCATTCTATGCAGCAAAGCTCCCAGCGGGGGACTCCTCCAGCAGCCAGGGCTGCTGTGCGGAGCTGTATGTAACAAGGATGTGCTCTAGGCTGGTGTTGTGCTGACAGGCTGTCTCTTCGCTACACAAAAGACACCGAGATGCTGGGGAGTGTCACAGAATCACAGAATGGGTTGGTTTGGAAGGGACCTGAAAGATCACTGCACTCCAACTCCCCTGTCGTGGGCCGGCTGCCCCCCACCAAGTGTGTTCCAGAGCCGTGGGACGTGGCACTGAGGGAGGTGGGCGGTGGGCTGGGTGAGCCGAGAGGGCTTTCCCAACCTCAGCGGTCCTGTGACGGCAGGCCGGCCCGCGCTTACCTCGCAGCTGGCTGAAGGTGATGGCGAAGCGCGCGCCGAGAGCCTTCAGCTCGTTGTTAGCCAGCGAGATGCGGTGGATGCCCTGCGTGACGCTGCGCACCGCCTTGTAGATGCCGGCGGGGAAAGCCACCAGCTTACAGTCGGCCAGGTCTGCGGGGACAGCCGGGTGAGCGGCGGGGGCAGCTGCACAGCGCCCGGCCCCGGGCTGCCAAACACGCGGCCCTCCTGCACGGCGGGGCCCCGCCGCACCCCGGCGTGGTGCGGGGACGGAGCGGCGCGGCACCCCGCCGGGGCTGCGGCCTTACCCAGCGTGTCGCCTTGGCTCTCCACCGTCTCGTTCACCCTCCTGGCCACGCGGGCCACCGCCTCGCCCATCCTTCTCTGCATGGGGGCGGCCGGGGGGGGACACTGCGGGCGAGGCGGAGGCGGCGTTCCCCGCTGCTAAAAATAAAGCGCTGGGACATGTGCTCTGCCGGGGCGGGCGGGGGGGGGTGCGATCCACGGGATCCGCGGGGCTCCGCGGGAGCGGGGCTTCGCGTGGGGCGGCGGGGAGGGCGAGGGCTCTCCGGCGGCCTCCCGTCCGAGATAAAACCGCGCGGACGGAGCCACGTGGCGCCGCTCCCCGCGCCGGGAGCCGAACTCGGGTCCCCCGGGCGGGAGCCGGGAGCCAGGAGCCCTCCTCCCCGCCGGACCACGTGTGGCGGCGGGCGGGGATGGCGCGGCCCCGCCCCGCGGGGACAATAGCGCGGGGCCATGGCGTCGGCGGGCGGCCGCCAGCACAGCCAGAGCCGTGCCATCCCCGCCCGCCCCGCGCCGCACGGAGACGCCGCTTCGCTGCCGCCCGGCTGCTGCACCACGCCCGGCGGCACGCTCTTCTCCACCACGCCGGGAGGTAAGAGCGTGAAGCCCTAAACGGCGCCCCGGATTTCAGCGTTCCCCGCGGCTGGGCCCCGGAGGGAGGCTAGGCCGTGCCGCCCGGAGGGGGTGAGGCTGCGGGCGGGGGGTTTCGGGGTCGGTGGGGGTCCCTCAGGGCGGCACGCCGCGGGGGAGAGCGCCCAGGAGACACGGACGCGTCCCCCGGCCCTCCCGCCGCAGGCACCCGCATCATCTACGACCGTAAGTTCCTGCTGGAGCGCCGCAACTCGCCCATGGCGCAGACCCCGCCGTGCCAGCTGCCCGACATCCCCGGCGTCACCAGCCCCGGGGCCGGCGACGAGCCCAAGGCCGAGCCCACCAGCCCCAGCAATCAGGACGGCAAGCCAGCGGCCGGTAAGCGGGCGGCCCCTCCCGGGCGTCCCCGAGCCGTGGGATGCCCACGTGCCTCTCTTGGTGTCTCTTGCAGGGGACGACGCGCAGTTCGAGATGGACATCTGACCCGGCGCCCGCCGCTCTCCTTCGCCATTGCCCCGTTTATTGGTCCGTTGTTTTGTTTTGTTTTTTTCCCCTCCCGTTTCGTTTGGGTCTTTCGCCGCATCGCCCCGCTCCATCCCCTGCCCTTAACTGGTCTTAAGGAACAGTGCCTGGAAATAGAGGTGCTGCCCGCTGGGCTCCTATCCTGGGCCTTCCCTGGGAAGTTTCAGCAGCCACGGCACGGGGAAGGCACTGGCACCTCCGTGCAGTGCAAACTCTTGGGTCCAGATTAGACCCCTCCAGCACCTGGGCTCCCAATTTCTATGGGGCCGCACGTGGCACGGAGCCCTCAGTTTTCCACTTTTTGGTACTAAAAAGAGGGACAACCACGATACGGGGAGAAGGGAGGGCCGAGCGGCAGCGTCTCTTCCCTCAAACCCCAACCTGTGCCATGGGGTTTGGGGTGGGCTTCATCGCCGGGTGCTTTTTGGGACGCTGTGAGCAAGCGAGTGCGAGTGGAAGTACGATGTGCGAGCGGCTGAGTGCTTGTGACACACACACAGATATATATGTTATATAGAGAGAAATATATTTTTCCTTAAAACGTTGGCCCTCGGGGGTCAGGCACGGCCCCGGAGCAGCCGGGGGACGCAGTGTGGCATGGGGAAGATGATGGCCATCAGCCACGCGGTGCCTTGCGGGACAGCTGCTCTGCGAGCCAAGAAAAAAAAACAATCAAGGACAAAGCAGACTTTCTACAGCTTTCTACGACGTTTCTACGACTTTCTACTGATCATTTTTCTCTTTTTGTTTTGTTTTAAACGGGATTCTGGCTGAAAAGCAAGGAGTGCCCGGCGTCTCGGGGCGGCTTCTCTGCTGTTCAGGGTTGTCGGTGGGTTTTTTGGTTTTCCTGTCTCCTGCACGGGAGGAGGAAAGCTCCCACCGGTGGTTGCTGTTACAGTGAGGTCAATAAAGATCTTGGTTCTACGACAGCGACACGCGTGGGGTTTCTTTGGCCTTAGCCCCATTTATCCACGTGGTGACTGCTCTTCTAAAACAGGATGTTTGCAGGGCAGAAGCATCTGCAGGGCATGGAGGTTCCTGGATGTGTAGCTGGAGAGCTACCAAGGAAAGTCCCGCTGGGGACGTCCTGGCAGATGGCACGACCACGAGCCGCTATGTCAAAAAGCTGTTCCAGAATGATCCAAAATGTGTTTTTTCTGATGGTAGCTTCCAAAACCAGGTGCAATGCTGGGACAGGCATGGCTCCACAGGCCTTCGCTGGCTCCCTGTTCAGCCAAGGAAAAGAAAACTCATAGATAAAAGGTTTTCTGGAGCAGGGAAAGAGGGCAGATAGCTGCCCAATGCACATTTTCACCTCCTTTTCTGAACTTTAGGAGAGCGAGGGGTGCTTTGGGGTTCCCCATCTCACCCAGAGGTTTGCAGCAGTGCCCCGTAGCAGTTGACTGTTGAGTAAACTGCAAATTCCCAGCCATTCCACAAGCTGGTGTGACATGCATTTTTGCCTCAAGCTCAGTGTGAAGATGCATTTAGCATCAGGGCATGGCATCACTGTGGGTTCACATTTCCAACCGCTGCCTGAAGTCTGCTGCAGGGCAGAGGCCAGACTGCAAACCTGAGTCGCTGGGGTCTGCAAAGCTCAGGCTCCTGCAGGCAGGGGGAAGCCCTCGGTGCTCCATAGTGTTGGGGCTGCTGGCACACCCTGCTCCCCAGCCTTTACCATTTTCGGGCTGCCTCTGGGCTGCGTTTACATTCCTTTCCCTCCTTCCTGGTGACACCGACAGCTCCTTCTCCCTTTTCCCTTGGCCTGTTGGGCTTCTGTAAATATTTATGCACCGTGCTGGCGGTGCCTGCTGCACGGCTGGGGCATTTCGGGTCTCCAATGGGGAAGGCTCCTGAGTCCTCCCTGTGTGGCCGATGTGCTTCAAGTGGATTGTCTGGTTACAAAGGAAGGACAAACACGTGTGGAGCTTGGCTCTGGGGCATCCGAGAGAACACGTGCCAGCTGGGTGGCTCCCTGATGCCGGAGTGGGGATGGGTGCAGGAGATGGTGGGTGCCTGGGGAGAGGGAATGGGGACGTGGCTCAGTAGGACTGAGTGATCTTAGAGGTCTTTTCCCAACTTTATGACTCTCTAATTCAATCCAATGAATGTGCTGGGGGCTGTAGGGTGTTCGGGGGCAATGTGCCAGGGCGTCCCCAAGGGATGGCGACTGTGACCGGGGGGCTGCTGTGTACTAATGGTCCCTAATGGGGCTGGGTGCTGCTACACTCTGGGGGATACCTCGAGGGGAAACGGGCTGGATCTGGGGGCTGCAAAGTGCCAGGGAGACCCCGGGGGGCTGCAGTAAGCCGTGAGGTCCCAAAGTGGAAAGGTGCCGACCCCAAGGGTTGCGGGCTGCAACGCTCCCTGGGGTCCTGGGGGCCGCGGCTGCCGACCTCCCCCCTCTCCCCCCTGCCCCCAGGCTCAGCCTCCGGGAGCGGGGCGGTGCCACGGCGGGACGCGGGCGGAGCCGGGCGGCAGCGGGCGGAGCCGGGCGGCAGCGGGGCCGCTTAAACCCGTCCCGCCGCCCCGCCCCGCACCCGGACCGACGGCCGGAGGGACGCGCGGACGCAGGCGGTGGGCGGCCGCGGGGCTGCTCCGCCAGCCCGGGCCCCGCAGCCCCGATGGGGCCGGCCCGGAGCCGCCCCCGGCAGCGCTGAGCCGCACGGAGCCGCCAGGTACCCAGCGCTGGGGGGCGGAGCGGGGGGCTGCGTGGATGCTCGGGTCTGCATCCTTCGGTCGCTCCCCCGGGGGAACCGCGGGCCGGGAGCCCCGTGCAGCCCTCGCCGTGCGCGGGGCAAAGCGACGGGACGGGACTCCTGGCCACGTCCCGCAGCGCTGCGGAGCTGCTCTCCCGTCGTTATCCCGCGGGGTGCCGCTCCGGGCTTTCTAGGAACGCTGCGAAGCGCTGTAGGCTTGGCTAGTTTCGGTGGGTTTGGGAGCCGAGCAGCTCCTGGTGAGCGCTGCGTTTCCGACGCCCCGCGGTGGTATTTCTCACCTTTTCTTTGAGCTTTCTTTGCGCTGAAGCGAGCCGCTTCCTTCCGGCGCAGGCTGCTGCGAGAGGACCCTGTTGGAAGGGACCCTTACGGTCATCGGGCTCAGCTCCAGTTGCAATCCGAGAGGAGCTGGGCCTTGATTCCTTCCCCTTTTCCAACTTTTAAATACGTATTTTAAGCCACTCAGTGTGCTTCGCGGTGCTTTCTTCCTGACCGCTCCAACCCAGCTGGCTCTCTCCTGCCTCAGAGAGGATGTGCTGTCCCATCCCTTCGTTGTTTTTTTTGTTTCTTTCTTTTTTTTTTCTTTTTTTTCCATAGGGTATTTTTGTTTTTGGGGAAAGGGGTGAGAGAGCAGGGGCAGCACCACGCTCCATCACTTCCTCCCTCCGGTGATGCCGCGTGCTCCCCGCTCCATCCGGCGGTGCTTCCTGCCCACCCCCGCGACCCTCCGGGGAGCACCGCACGTTTCCCATTTTGGGGTTAAATCCCCGGTTGTGGGGCAGCTCAGGGCCACGGCCCGCTTGGCACAAAGCTTTCCCCTTGGTAATGGCATAGCCGTCCTAATTTAGGAAGCTGTAAACGAGCAGCTTGCAGGGAAGGGTGTAATTTGGGGGTTTCTCCCAGGGAGAGGCTGTGTTAACAGAGCTGAGGACAAGCGGCCGTGGCACTGGTTCCCCTATAGACAGTGCAAAACCTGGGTGGGATGCCCAGGATCAGTGAGGTGCTTTCCTCGCCAAAACATTAAAAAATCTCTCTATATTTTAACAGAAATGCAACGCTGGGGGTGCAGCAGTGGTTTGTTTGTCCTCGCTCCTCCCGCTGACAATGAGGCAGCCAGGGCAAGTGCACGCTTCCTCCCACCGTGGCAGATGCATCCTGCAGCTGGGCCCACCCGCTATATTTAGGCTATTGTTAGTGCTGGCCTTGGGCCCCTGCCAGCTCCCCGTGCCGTGGGGGTTGGACCCATGTGTGGGGGCTGACATGGTGGGAAACAGTGGGGCGAGGTGAGGAGTGCCGACGGGTGAGTGGGAGCGCTGCTCTTTTCCACCGGTTTGGTGGAGAAGGGCTGTATGGTTTGCAAGTAGCAAACAAGCAATGGGATTTATTTATTTTGGTTTAGAGGAAAGAAGTGGCTTTTCACAAGGTGGCCAAAAATCCAGTCTTGGTGACAAAGCCTGTTTGCAAGGCAGCAGAGCAGACTGCAGAAGCATCTGTGGGTTGGGGTGCCGGTTACACATCAGAGCACAGATCCCAGCACATGCTGTGTCCATGCAGCCGAGCCCCAGTGCTGTGCATTTGCTACAGAAGCAAGAAAAGCGCCTTTTTCTTCCTGGGCTTAACAGGAAGAACAGGCACAGCATTGTCCTGGAGCGGCCGAGCGTGGCGGGATGCTGCTGGCTGTCCTCTGCTCCCCTTTGGAGTCCTCTGTATGCGTGCAGGCACATGTCTGCAGGCACATACATGTTCACACATGAGGATGTGCATGCATGAGCGTGCACATGTTGGCATGCACATGTATGTGCCTCTGTGAACACAGGAAAGCCGACTGCAATCCTGGTGTGCAACAACAAATGCAGTGTGCTGGGAATGAGCCTGGGAAGAAATCAGAGTGCTGGAGCACTTAGCTGTATTTCACTGCTCTTCACGCATTTTCCATGCTCGTGGAGCGCGCTGGGGCACAGGAGGCTAATGGCTGTCCTGCCGGGATGGGAAGCAGCAGGTCACTCTGCAGTGCCATCTGCTGACTCATCACATTTTGGGGGCTGGCTCCAGGGTTTCTCCTTTTCTCCCCTTCCCAGCCCTGATGGCAGAGAAGCCGTGCTGGGAATTCAGCCATGGTGGGGCTGGACCCTGCCTAGAGGACGAGGGGGGAAAAAGCCCATAAGGAGAGCGGGAAGGAAATTGGAGAGCACGGGAAGGGCAGGGTTCGTGTTTCTTCGGAAATGGGCCTCCCCTTGCCGTGCCGGGGCAGCTGAAAAAATTCCTCTCCCTTTACCATTCTCCCTCCCTCCCCCCAACCCTGTTTTTCTGTCCCCGTGCAGCCTGTGGATGATGGGCACGACCGCCAGCACGGCTCAGCAGACTGTCTCGGCCTCCGCCTTTGAGAGCGTGCACGGCATTGGCACCATGGAGGACCAACGCTCCCTGAGCATCCACTCCTTCCAGACCCTCGGGCTGCACAATAGCAAGGCCAAGTCCATCATCACCAACAAAGTGGCACCAGTGGTCATCACGTGAGTCCCAGCAGCCACCTGCAAGCCCTTCATGCTGTCTCCAGATTGGACACTATCCTTTCTTGGTTCATTTCAAACCCTCTCTATCCTCTGTTGCATGTTCCTCTCTTTCTCCATGCTTTTGGCAAGAAGAAATCCCTACTTATTTATTTTTGGGTAACCTTACCTTCTGCGTGTGGTTTCTCCAGGTATAACTGCAGGGAGGAGTTCCAGATTCATGATGACCTGCTAAAGGCCAACTACACGGTGGGACGCATCTCTGAGGCCACACTGGAGCACTACCTGGTGCAGGTTGGCATTGCTGCTCATTGCTCCTACACGCTTTCCATGCTTGGATCCTGTTCCATCTTCTTTCTTATCCTGCAGGGGAAATATTTCATGGTCAGAGATGTGTACAGCAAGTTGGATGTCTTGAACACTACCGGCAGCTGTGGTGCTCCGAATTTTCGGCAAGCCAAAGGAGGCTATGCGGTGTTTGGTATGGGTCAGCCCAGCCTCAATGGCTTCAAGCTTGTGCTGCAGAAACTGCAGAGAGAAGGCCACAAGGTTGGTGCAGCGGGAGCAAGTGTGGCTTTAAAGCTGAGTGCTTCTGCTCTTGTTTGTGGGAGAGGATCTGTAGATTGTCGTGGAAGTCGAGGGGATATCTGTGGGGAGAGCGGCTTCGTCTCAGAGCTGCTGGCTGGTCTGTGGATGAGGCTGGCACAGGGTTTTGGGAAGCCTTTTCCTCTGCCG